AAAAGCAAAACGCGTTCTGATGCTGCTGCATAAGCCCCATTAATGTCTGCGATTCGCGGGCCTCACTTGATCGCCTAACTATACAAGTGCTTTCCTCTTCTTTTCTTTTCTTTTTCCTACCACCAATTATTGATCTCGCTCTCTGCCGTCTGTATCGTCCATTCTCCGGAACTTGAACTTCAATCTACTCGGTGTGGTACAGCCAAGCTATATGTTGTCCTTGCAGTTTGCCGGTCTCCGATCAACAGAAAATAAATATCGACCTAACGGCAACGCAGAGAAGTCACGGCAGTAATGTCTGTATAAACCGAACACCAGCAATACAGTTGGGCGGAGTGCTGGACAGCAGTATTCTTCTTTTAGATCCTTGCCTAATATTCTTCATTGAAAAAACGGTAAAAGACAGCAGCATTTAGAAGCCATCTTTGGTTGAGCTGTAGCTTCATACGATGTAACCAACAGAAGTTACCCGTCGGTACAAGTCTGACTGCCTGGTTATGATGCAGTTTACTTCTAAAAAACTGAGCAACATTTACAGAATCAATAGGGAAACAGTAATAGAAGCAGCAGGAAAAGTAGAGGTTGCAGCAGTGACGGTGTTGTGTGTCTCTTCGCTGTTTAACCCCCTTCTGTTATAAACCGGATCACTTGCAACTCAGTAAGTATACCGCTGTTGCGCCATGTTGATGCAGTCAAAAAACGACAAACTTAGCATTTTTCTTCTTTCTCCTCTACTTTTTTCTAACGGAAGGGGGAACACTACTGCAGTTAAGCGTACCCACCATTAAAAATACTTTTTCTTATTGTTAATCTACCTTCATTTTTGTTAGCGGTCTTCTTAACACCGCATGATTCATCTCTGCTACTTTGAAACTTATCTGCACATTTTTTCCCGGCCTTCTGACGGTTTGGTGCCAAAGTTTCGTTCTTAATCTCATGGCGTTTCAGTACCTCCGGTCAGCAGAGCGTGGTATAATGGATAGTGAATGGGTTTCAAGGACGCAGTCTGCAGAATTCGGACGATTGAAAGCTGCTTCGAATACACCATTCTTACTGGCAGTCCTTAGATTTCTTGAACAAATCCGGGTTTGCCCAGCAACCTCTGTACAATCAGAGTTTCAACTACATTTGTACAACTGTATGATCCATTGGTTTACCGTATGAACTGATTAAGGAAGTAATTGGAAAGTACCCTTTAAAGCTTATACTTATGTATATGCTAAGTTCTTTTGCTTGTTCTGCTCATGATCTTATGTCATCCTTTTATATGAATCCGCTGGAATGAAGCAGTCAGCAGTTCTGAGAACTGTCGTGGTTTTAATGTAACCCATGTGTAGAGGTTTTTTCCGCTGTTTTTACTGGAAAGTATGCATTTTGAACTTTAAGCAGTGCTTCAGTTGCATTAGTGTTTTCAGAAGTTTAGAAAGTATCCTCCATTGGGAACCGTACCGTGTAGCTAGAAATTATCGTTAACGTTCATTGCAGCGGAAATCAATGCAAATGTCGCTTTTTCAGACTCTGTTAAAGTTGAAGCGAAATTTTAGCGATAAACAGTTCGCAAATTAGCAAGAGGGCACAGATAAGGCTGACTTTTTCATGGCTGAATCAGGTTAAGAATCCCCTACCAAAACGAATGGAAGTAGATACAACAGCAAAAGAAATCATATTCTGGAACGAACTTGGTTGACTGCAACAGCGCCACAAACAACTTTTTTTTTGTCTCTGTCAAAGTTATGTGTTCTATATACAGTTAGAAATTTTGAAAGATGATCGCCAAAATTCGTTCCTTAAACTGTTTATTCCCCACTTAATTTCCTCTGGCATGAAACATCAGGTTATTTGCTGTTTTAATTTAAAACCTATCCTTGACACAGTTTCTAATTATAAAAGTTCTTCAGTTAAGATGAAAAACGTTCAAAAAAGGGGCGTAAAAACTATGCTAACAATATATATATGTAAAACAGTTTTCTGTTTTCTGTTGCAGAAAAGAAGTTTGTTCTTTTTTACTTAGAAACGGTTAGAACTAGAACTGTTAATTTGATTTAAATTGCATTCAATATAGCTTACCTTACAACATTTTAAGCCAACTAGCTTGCTGATTTATGAAGTACTGACGGTCATTTTATGTATTTGACAACAACACTTAGTTTTAAGAAGAGTGCTTTTTTCTTGCTGGACTCAACGATGCAAAGAAAAAAAAGAAGTTTTCGTGAGAAAATTCTTTAAAGGCGAATGTTTAATCCGCTGAAGTAAAAAATAGTTAAATCTTGGTAACAAATTCCCATCACGTCATCACTGCTTCTAACTAAGCTCTTACCAAAAAAAATTCTGGTCATCAAAATTAGTCTTTCGAGTCATTATGTAATACTTTCCTCACTCAGCTTTCAACTTTTGGTTTATTGTGGCAGTGGTGAAAAGAAGTGTTGAATAAGGTAGCTGGAGAGTTCGATCAAGGCCGTTTTAACATTGGAACTCATCTAATCGGGACACACGGTCTAGTGTTCCTGTTTAATATCATTTTTTGCACAACTATTGTTCAGAAAACTTCCACCATCAGCAAACTTTGTTGCCTAACATCAACAAAGGAGGAACTAAATCACTCATTTATTCAGACGAAACTTTAATGCCTTTTACAATGACATCTGGAGGAACCGGTTAAATAAACCTTCAATGCATTTCCTGTGCTAATCTAGCAATACACTGAGTTAATTGTTGTCCGACATCAGCTGCCGTCCAAGTTTAGTTTGAACTTTTGCCATAAGAATAAAGACAAGACAAATTAACAAGTTTCTCAAGCGACGAAACAAAAAAATGTAAGCTTCAGAGACCGTTAGACCACACACAACTTGGTGCATGAGAAACTTTTTAACACATTGACCAAATGGCATTAATCATCAATTTATGGCATCATTTAAATTTGAGGTTTGGAGAAGAAACATAGTTAGATTACTAAAAAGATTTTGGCTTTTATGAAGGAGAGGTAATTTCAACTGTTGTTGTATAAATGCGTGAACGACTTCTTTCAACTCTATTTCAATTCGACAGGATGTTAAGGAAAGCACCAAAAAGAAAATACTTTTTTTGAAAATAAAAAAGGTCCTCTTTGACAGCTTAAATTTTTGTGTTTTTCTGTTATAAAAAAGAACATTGACTACTATTTTTTTCTAAGATTATGACGATGATTCAATTGGAAAGAGAGCTAGCTTTTGTGTGAAATATGCTAGACACCAGTAAAATGCAAAAAAAAAGTTGAATTCTTGTAGGACTCCGAACATTCTTTCAAAATTTCTCTAAACTCCATTGCTACTGTTTCGACTCCGCTGTTTTTGCGTTGCGCCGTCAAAGGATAGCACCAAAAGCCCTTTCGGTCAATATTATCCTCGCATCTCCTCGGGGAATGTGAGTTTTTTGGTAAAATGAATGGTCCCACAACGGAGTTCGGAAATTCAATCATCAAAAATCATCATTACTGCTTGTTTCAAGTTTGTCATCGTCACCTCCATTAGTTTCATAGGTATCGGCTGTAGAATCATCCTGAATGAACGAAACTTCTCAAAAAAAATTGCATTGTAGTCGTGATCGATGAGAGGTAAGTGACCTTCGCCTCATTGCCAAGGGACGCAAAAGTACACGACAAATTATCTTCAAAAGCCTCATACCCTGAGTGCAATCGCCTCTTTTTCGATTTCTTTCTCAATAGCTGCATCTTCGTCTGAACCGTCATCATTGTTCAAGTTTTCAACGTAATTCTGAATGCCTTCGTCGTCATCCTCATCCTCATCTTCATCGACAATCCCCGCGCCTGTTATGTTACCAAATACGCGACCTAAAAATCAAATTTGAATATAATAAATATGCAGTGTATAAAATTTGCTATTTGCAATGTAGTTGAACCAAAAAAGCTTTTTTTTCGGCATTACCTTTACTGTTCCTTGTTTTGCCCCCTTCAGCTTCCATTTCAGACCTTCTGAAAAAAACATGCATGACATATTGTATGGAACTATACTGCATATTAAAAAAATTATGAAGAGCAGCAAATTTCAGGTTCTGAAATTCGTAAATATGAAAAAAACTATTTCTCCTGTTATTTTCAAGAGTAATACATGAGCATACAAGTTTCTAGCTTTAGCCAACTCTTCTGCTCTTTTCCTTTCAATGATATTTCTGATATTTTGTTCTACTTCTGCATTCCGCTGTTGCTCGTTCTTTGCTGCCTCAGTCTTAAAAAAAGGTAAACTTTTAACTAGACATTTTCATTGTGAAGTGTTCTAATCGAACAAACTAACTGGAAATACTTAAGCTGTTCAACTATTATGCGGCTAATTAAAAGGAATTTGAAAACTCACCAGCATATACTGTAGATAGCTGAGATTTCTGAATTTGACTACATAGGTTTCATATAACTGCTTCAGTCTTGCTTCAAATTTTTCATACTCATCCATGTGTTGAGGTCGAAATGCCTACAAGGGTCACTGAATCAGGCAAATTTTATTGTTGTTGGCAACTGATGACTCTTGCTAAGGTTCAACAATTTATGAAAGGAACGAAAAGATGTCCAAAATTGCAGCGTAGGAAAAGATCACTGTATTAGCAGGAGAAATTCAGGGTTATAAAGTCACAGTGAAAAGGTGTGTCAAAAGATACCGTTGATCAGATAACCAAACCTGAAGTTTAGCAAGCCTCTTCTGATGTTGATCGTATTCGTTCCTTCTTCGGAGTATCTTTTCATCTAACGCCGCCTCATCCGTATTGATATTTGCAACATTTTTTTCCACTCCGGAAAGTTCCTCCTGAATTTAGCAGTCAAGAATAGCAAAATTTACTAGAACTGTCCGAATTTCTCCCAGAAAAATTTTTTATGTTTCCCACGTTGCACCTAATTTATTCATAACAACAAGAGTTAAAAAGATAGCTTATAAGAAATAACAGCGAATCACTCATTCGGGAGCAAATGAAAGTCAGTTAACTGAAGGGAAACAAAATGTAAGCAGTAATTGACACAAGGATCTCTAAACTGTTACTTCTTTCATCTTCATTGCTTCCCTTAGCAATTTCTCAACATCCGCAAAGTTAAGCGCGAATGATAAGGCTTTCAAGCGGCCTTCCTAAAAATAATAATGCAATTAAGCCATTTAGAAGCGAGCAAGTCCTTAATGAGAAGCAATCAGTTTTTTTTTAGACAACAATAGAGTGAAAGGCAGCTCTGAGACACTATTAGTGTTATATATGATAAAATAATTCTTTTCACAAACAAAGCACCACTGTCAAAGATTGCATTTAACACAGTTGTCTTCAGAAGCTTTTTCACCTTAGCCAAAAGTTCTTTCGTTAACAAATCATAAATTGTTGCTCCTTTCGTTGGAATGCTGGCAGCGGTTTGTCGGCAGTTCTGCACATTTTGCAACTGAAAATAGCAACAGCAGAAATGTCAAAATAATCGCAGTCTACTTCCAGCCAATGTGACTAAACGACCAAAGTTACGCACCCGAGAACGAAGTTCTTTCCAAAAATCTGCATCATTTTCAACAGCTTTCTCATTCGGGCTATTGTACAGTAACTGAACAGGAATGATCAGTTCTTGAACAGCAAACCCATCAGCCTAAAAGAGGTTTTTGAGGAAAAAATGCTTCGGTAACAAGAATAAAAAGCTTATTATTTGATATGGCAATAATTTTTAACAAATAATACACGAAAAATTTTTTGAAATGTTGAGTGCGTTTAGAGAATTTTGGAAATTTTGCTACAGTTATTTTGCTTATTCTTAATTCATCAATCGTACACGTGTATCCTTCAAAGTAGTCAACATTAGACATCGTGAACTCCTTGCATTACAGATTTGACTTTTTAAAACTTTTTGAGAAGTTACAGTACTACAATGACTTTTTGACGACGATCTGAAAGTAACACCGCTTTTCCTGTTATATTCAACGCTCAATCCATCTCCATCCGTAAACTTTTAAACCCATAAATAAACTGTGCTTCTAGACACCACAGTGACCGCAAATACCATATGTAACACAAAAAATTCTCCACTGTTCTAACTTTTTTCTACTACAGATTGAAAATTACGACTCTCTAAATTTCATATCTTTTATTTTTATGGCAAAAATTTCGGCATGCTACAGTGCCATTTTTCAACAGAAGCAGATTAATTTTGTTCAGAAACACAAAATTACCCTTGTTTCTAGGATTCCTTCAGGAAAAATCAGTCGTTCCCGGATTTTAAGAAAAAGGTTAAACATAGACTTTTTAAATGTCTCAGTAAACTTGCTCCTCTTGACACCTTCAAAGTTTACCTGATAAAGTTTTTTTGGATTAAGCTTGATCCTCGCATTTTGCAATAGCGATAAAACAGCAGCTTTTATAAAAATAACTCTTTCCTGCTCGGTGTCCAAAGCCTCAGGTAGTGTAGCATTTGGATTGAACCTCAAATAAGCAAGGGGCTATTGCAAAAAACTCTTCTGCCGCAAAAAATACGATAGTAAAGCTTAATGCTATAAAAACTTTCAGACAACAGGTAAGAAAGAGGTGATTTAAAGACTCGTCTCTCACTCAGTGAATTAGGGATAGGTTTTTTTTTGCATTTCTGTATTCAACTATCCTTGAAGATTATATCCTAGATTGCATACCTTTTAATAATCCATTGCAATAACTCAACAACAAGTTTAAAATTGGGTTTTCGAAAATTTTCCATTGATATAATCCGTGGGTAGCCAAGCGCGCGAAGCATTTCAACCAAATCTGTTTTGAGCATCATCTTTGATTTCGATCATTTTTGTAAGTGAATAAAAGTAAAAACAATGTAGAATCATTTCAATCAAAACAACTTAGAAAAGTTTTCGTTTGAAAAAATTTCGTAATTAATTGTATTAAAATGAAGCTTTTTTTTTTTGATTCACTTCACTCTTTTTTGTAACCGTTAACAAATTACTTACTGCGAATCTCTCGAAATGACATTGTAAATGCAAGGAATTACTGAGGATCCAGTTCGTACTCACACTAAGATCTTTTGATAATGTCAACAATGGTTGCCTAGGCTACCCAAAAATAAAA